GATATTATGAATCCTTTGAACTCTTATGCTCTAATTTTTCATTGCTTTAACAATTTATAAAAACACTATGATCTATAATTTACTCTAATCTTGATAACATTTAATATCCTTAAACGCTCTGATCAAATTTGTTTAAATGATAAACACTTTAATTCACATTGTTTAAACATCTAAAAGATATGTTTATGAATGCTCTGATATATATTGTTTATTCCCTTCAAAATCTTGTTTTTAAATATATATTGTTTAACATAAGCATTTGTTAAACATAAAAAAAAGGGGATATTGTTAAGTAAAAAATTGTCTAAAGAGACAAGACTATCTAACAACTCTTATTTCTAAGTTTAACAAATTAACTTTAACGAAATAACGTTTATAGCTTAAAATGTCTATATAATATGTTTGATAAAAATAAGGTTGAACAATGTGAGTAAATCGTCTATGTTGAGTCTGAATAATATTTTATAAAACTCAAAGAGTGTATGACGTAAGTGCGTTTAGCATTTCAAATTGTTTAAAGACAAAGCTTTCATTAAACACTATATCTTGTAAACGCTATGTTACTCAAAAGAATAGACTTGTGCACTAAACGCATAATACATAAAACATGCCTAAATGATCTATAACGTTTATAATAGTAAATGCATGTTCGATTTGTACTCTTCGTCTGTGGTGTTTTGTTTCTCTTTATCTGTGCAGATCATGATAATACCAAGCTTTATTTAAAAGTTCTATATAAGATCAGAAATACGTTAAGAGATAGGAAGATATTCTTGGAATGTTTTCTTAATTATTTTTGCTCTGAGGAAGTTGTACACACCACCTCCGTGAAAAGCATTGTTGCTTTAATGATACCTAGATATTGCTTCGTACCTGAAGGATACCTACTTTCCTTAAAGTCAACTCTCTCTGAGTAATGAATCTTTCTCAAAGAAGGTTATATAAATAGGACTAGATGAAAATAATAATGTAAGAAGAATTTATTTTTGAATCTTATGTTGTTATTCTCTCTCTGAGGTCATATTGTCTAAAGTTTTCTTTGTTTAACAAAAAGTTTTACAAGTCTTTAGATTTCATTATATTGAATGTTAAGACAAGATTGTCTAAGAGAGAGAATAGGATCTTCTAAAGCATCTCTGGTTTTGAAGTTTAATAAACAACATTAAATGAAATAGTTTTGAGTAATCAAATATGTAAAAGTATAAAAGACCATAAACACAAAGAACAAAGTACATTCTCTTATGATATAACGTCTAGATTAGAAACATCTATGCAGCAAGCCTAATCAAGGTTATGTATAAAGCTACATAAAGGTGTTAAACGACAAAAGAGAAAAACTAAAATACCATAGAAGCATAAAAGAAGTGAGGCCTAAAAACATACAATCACAAAACAACAAGTACAAGAAATATCCAAGTAAAACTAACAAAATACTGAGCGCAAGAGTCGATCAAGTAAGACTTACCACACAACGAACATTGTCTAAAGAACATAATATGCAAAATATAAGAATATACTCTTAGCCTGAAGGACAACACTTCACTCTAGAAAAATAGTTTCTAGAGAGATGATATGTTTTAAAATAATGGAACTCGTTTATAACAAAACTATTTATCAATAAAAAATTTAGTATTAAAATAACTAAGTCTCACTATTTTTAAACTACCATCACTTCTAAAATACCATTTTCTGGGTTTTACAAAAACTCTCATGAACCATTTGGTATTTTCGCTAGAATGCTTGAATGATCAAATGTTGATTGAGCTATGGAATATTTGAAATGCTTATATGTGCTTTAAACACACATTAAATGCCATTAAATGCATAGGTCTCAAAACAACAAAAGTATTAAGAAAAAGGACATATTTGCCTGCATGTCAGAAATGCACATGCTCTATCAAATACAAGTAAAAAATGAACGTTAGAGACAAAGAAGATATTTATATAATGATTTTCTCATCAAAAGTCGCGCCAAAGAGATTGTACAATCTACTTTGTTAGCAAAAAGAAGAAGATGGACATCTTGCTTTAATAGAGAATTTTGATGATGATGTTTGATGGATAAGTGTTGAAGAATTAAAGAAGTGCTTGGTTTCAAGAAATACTTTGAAGACTCAATAATGTAGTTGTTAAAGACTTGTAATTTGTGTATTGTAATTAATTTAGTAGTTCAAGAGTCAATAGGTAGAACCCAAGTAATAGAGCACTCAAAAAAAGTTTTATTTTTCATAAAAATTTATGTGATAATCGATTATCACTTATGATAATCCATTATCAATGGCAGTTGCGAATCTGACTCTTAATTTTTTGACCTAATTTTCAAATATAAGAGTCTATAAATAATTAACTTAAACATAACTTAAGGACAACTTTTCACTTAAGAGTATTAAAGTTGTGTGCCTAAAACTCTCTATTTGTGAAAAGGGAGCTTGTGTTACTTGGTGCTTGTAGGAGGAAGTGTTCTTTCTTAGTGTGTTTAAGTGGTGGAGTATACCTATAAAGCAGAGTCAAGTTGTTCATCCCTTTTGTGCATCAAAAGGAGGTGCCTTTCATCTCTTATCTATTAAGAGAGGTGGTTTCTAATCTCAATCTTTATTTTTCTATTGTAAATTGTTACTTATTTTAGTAGAAAGGTTAATCTATGTAATTAAGATTAACAATTGGACGTAGGGTCTTTTGATCCAAACCAGTATAAAAATTATCTATGTAATTTTTCTCCTTCCTTCTCTCCTTTGTTTATTTTCTTTTATTCAAAGTAATTTTTCAGTTTCATTAAAGAAATTTTAAAAGCAAAAATCTATTCAAAGTAAAGTGATTTTTTTATCTTGGACCGATTCCCTCCCCTCTTGGTTTTGTCCAACTCTTTTAAACATTTCATTGCGCAATACCAACATACTTTTGATAAAGTACTGACAAGTAGACCTAAACCTATGATAACCACCTATGATAAAGGCTACAAAGAGCTAAAAATAAAAGACAAGCATCGTCTAATGACTATTTTATCAAAGGACTTATAAAAGATCTCTAAATGAGAAGAGCAAAAGGATGAGACTTTAAGGAACAAAAAGAAAAATCATCCTCATGGAAATACCAAGAATACTCTCAAAGCTTAGAGTTAGAAACCTTCTCTTGTAAGAAGAGAGAGAGAGAATTTAAAAGTCTATTAAATTGAATTATATTATAAACACATCCTCTCTGCAAGAGTAATCGTATAAGGACTTGTAAGCAATCTGTTTGATTGTAAGGTCTGAAGAGAATTCAAACACTTAACGCTTAACTCGGTGGGGTTAAACGGTAGCTAGACAAGTTTGTCTAGTGGAAACCAAGAGTGGGTGAACTCAATTAGACAATGTATCGGGAAGATACCAGGAGTGTCTAGGGATACCAGAAGTGGTGAAGAATACTACACAACTAAGAATGGGTGAAACTCGGCTCTAGTCATAGTAACGGGGTTACTAGATTGAGTAGGAAAACCATGAGTGAGTTAAACTCAACTAAAAAATATATCAGGAAGATACATGGAGTGTCTAGGGATACTAGGAATGATGAAGATATTGCACAACCAGGAGTGGGTGAAACTCGACTTTAGTCACATAAATGGGGTTACTAGGTTGGCTAGGAAAACCAAGAGTGAGTTAAACTCAACTAGACAGTGTATCAGGAATATACCGGGAGTGTCTAGGGATACCTGGAGTGGTGAAGAATACTACACAACTAGGAGTGAGTGAAACTCAACTCCAATCACAATAACGAGGGTTATTGGGTTGACTTAAACTCAACTAGATAATGTATCAAGAAGATGCGGAGAGTGTTTAGGGATACCAAGAGTGGTGAAAAATATTGCACAACCAGGAGTGTGTGATACTCGGTTCTAGTCACAGTAACAGGGGTTATTGGGTATGACTAGTGTAACCAGAAGCTGTGAGAATTCTCATATGTATTTCATTGAAAATCTAGTAGAACCCTCTAAGATAGAGGAGAACTAAACGTAGCTTAGTTGAGTGAACCAGTATAAAATGTGTGTGCATAATATTTTCGCTTTACAAGCATTCTATCTACAACCGTAGCATGTGTTTGCAAAACAAACATTTAACAGTCACACTCATTATTAGACACATCTTCCCTTAAGAGTCTCTTCTCTTGGACATCACAGAAGTAGAGTTAAACTATCAAGCTAGAAACGCTTCTGTTAGATCAGTGTCTTATACGTTAGGCGTTTTGCGACTCATGAGGATCATCCAATCTCTATCAATGGTTGTCAAATATCAGCTCCAAGATAATTTCTAGAAACACTATTCAAGCCCCTTTCTAGTGTTTCTCGGTACTTTATTGAAAACATACTTTCTTTAAGAGCTTTGATATGTACTTGTTTTGCTAAAACACTTTTATTATGTTTGTAAATTCTGAAGAGAATCAAAACACTTTGATTGTTTAGTTCAGTTGAGCTAAACGGTCTATGAAGAATACTAGTATTAAACCAGGAGTGGATAAACAAGTATATCCAAATTAGATATTTGTGAAACAAGAGTGGTGAAACTCGTTGTAATATTTAAAATGTTAGTAAAACTCTTTAAAAATACAAACTGAACGTAACTTTATTAGAGTTAATAAATATAAAAATAAATTTATTTTATTTATTTTTTTCTTAAAATGTTTAATACATATTTATAAAAAAGTTCTTAAAATCTCTAACTCTGTCGAATTACTTTTTAGGATTTTTCCAGTGTTTCAAATATGAACTTATGAACTAAATTAATAAAGTTTTACACATCTAATGCTAAAGGGGCTACTTTAACGCATTTACATTTAAGAAAAAAAAGTCAAAATCCATAGTGGTAACTACGTAGTTCCCCGAAACATTAATGGACATTTACGTAAAACACAAAAACAAACCTTATTACAAAATCTCTTTCCTCCTTCGCTCTTATTTTCTCTTACTGGCGTCTTCGAGTTTCACAGCGAAGTCATAAAAGGTACTATCTGTTTCTCTCTCCTCACATCTTCGGATCCCTAAATCTAGGGCTTCGTCTATTTCTTCGGAATTCGTCTAGTCAGTTTCTTAATTTCGTTATCAATTCTCGATTTAGAATCTCCGTCTCTGTTTACTTTTCTTCGTTGAAGTCGTGTTTTGCTCTCTTCACTGTGCTGATTTTGGTAATTTCTTATTCTATCTGTGAATGCTCTCTTCGGATCCTCGATTTCCTTCCTTGATCTTGGTTGTTTTGTTTAATTTTCGTCGTGCCTGCGGATATTTGTGCGAGATGTGAGTGAAGGTTCTAGTTTTGTTTTATTTCTGTGTTCTTTTTTGTTGAGTTTGAACTTGCGTTCGTACTTTCGCTGTTTGATGCTGGATTTGTGATTGGGTTTGCTGCTGTGTGCATGGATACTTGGATTTCGTGCGGAGTTGCATGAAAGGAAAGGGAGGAAACCAGTGTTTTTGAAAATGAATTATGAGATTTTTGAGAGCTCTTTTATTTGCTTTGTTTGTGATGGTTAGAATTAGAAATTACTAGATTTATGTTTTTTCCTTTTTTTGCTTTTGGGGTTATTGGAAGTTGCAAAAAGCCCACTACTACGAAGTTTTATAATCAATTACCCTTATTAGTCCTCAATATTGGTGTAATTTAAAAAACTTTAAGTAAGAATTTTCGATTGCTGTAGTTGGCAATGGTACTCCTCCAAATGTATGGCAAATGTTGTTGTATGCTCATATGAACTGTTATAAGTCTAGTTATGCGTTTGACATATGTCAGCACAAAAGAGGAAGATGTTGAATTATTTTCATTTTTCCCAATTGGATGTTTGCTAACTATGTCCTGTTTATTGCTGTATTTTTTCTGTTGATTTAATTCGTGATGTGGTCTATATTGTGTTTATAACTTGTCAGGGTTTCAACAGATGGAAAACATGCAGAGCTTCTGGCAATTGGGTGATGAGCTTCGTGGACACTCAAAAGCGTCAGAGGATCACAAGTGGTTAATGGTTGCTTCTAAGTTGGCTGAACAGACAAGATTGAAGGGGGAGCGTGTGAATAACCTTGACCTTTCAAAGGGCCCCATTGAAACAAGGTCAAGGGATAAATTTGGGTTCCAGGAAGAGAACAAATTTGATTCTCTCAACTTGAGCATGTTGAACCTGGACTCTAAATTTACTGAAAATGTGAGCAAAAGCTCACTTCGGAATAGTGTTTACAGTATGAATGCAGTGTATCAGAAAAACAATGCAAACTTGGTGAGTAATGTGAACAGTAACAAGTACAGTGGTAATATTCAGCATAACAAAGAGTCCAACAATAACAGTGGCAACAGCAATAACAATGAGAGCAACAACTCAAATGCAACTGACAAAAGGTTTAAGACCTTGCCTGCAGCCGAGACACTCCCACGCAATGAGGTGCTTGGAGGATACATATTTGTCTGTAACAATGACACAATGCAGGAAGACTTGAAGCGTCAGCTATTTGGTGTGTTTTTAATAAATGGAATCTGTTCTTCTGTCTTGGACATTATTAATCATATACTTCGTGATGACTGACTTTTTCAATCATTTTTGGTAGGCTTGCCTCCAAGGTATCGAGATTCTGTTCGGGCAATAACACCAGGATTACCTCTATTTCTGTATAACTATACTACTCATCAGCTGCATGGCATTTTTGAGGTAAGCTATTATAAATTTGTAACTACAGTTAATTATGTTGTGCTTCAGACTATGCAGCATGTATCTTCTTATTTTAGGGCTATGAAATATTGAAATTGTGTTCCTAGTTTAAAGGATATTCACACAAAATGGGGCTAATTGTAATTTCTCAAGGAGTTACACCCAAGAATAGCTATGAAAGCTATTTGTGTTGCCCAATCGTTAGTGTCTGTGCTAAACATGTTACGGGCATGGAAATATTGTCTCGTTTCAGAAATACAGAACCTCCTTCTTCATTGTTATTTATACATTTAGAATATGTCTATATTAGATTTCTTTTAGATATTATTATCTAATTGGTAGGCTTTTGTTGTTATGTTAATTGATAGAAAAAAATTGATTTTAGAGGGGTTAAATTATCAAGAATTTGTATTTAGCTGCTGTTGCACAGCTAGTAATGGGGTTACCTAATGCATACGATAAAAATGGCAATGTTCTAATTTGGTCTCATTTGTTTTTGGTTTTTTCTTTGCTTGGGTATTCTTGTCTGATTAGAGATTGGGAATCTTGTATTTGTTCTATCTTTTGAAAAGACGTAGATAGGTTTTCTGCCTTCTTTTGTATAATTGTTCATAACAACTATTCAAATGTAATGGCCAAAATTGAGAAAGTTGATGATAGATAAACTAAATTTAGTTGATTATTTTCTAACTTTGAGGCCTATGTTGCAGGCAGCAAGTTTTGGTGGCTCTAACATAGATCCAACTGCCTGGGAGGATAAAAAATGCAAAGGCGAATCAAGGTTTCCAGCTCAGGTAGAATTACAATTTTGAAACGAGGAAGTCCGTTTACTAGCTGTCATTCAATTATCGAATAAATAATATTCCTTCATCTCGTAGGTAAGAATCCGTGTTAGGAAACTCTGCAAGGCATTGGAAGAAGATTCGTTCAGGCCAGTATTGCATCATTATGATGGTCCAAAGTTTCGTCTTGAGCTGTCAGTTCCAGAGGTATATAATTTGACTATTGCTCTTTCTGTATTAAAAAAGAATTATTCTTTGACATTGAGTTGTCACTGCTTGTTTCTCTCTCTTTGATGGGTGAATTTTGTTATTGGATATTGCAGACTCTGGATCTGTTGGACTTATGTGAGCAAGCTGGTTCGGCAGCATAAGCAAACAAACGAGGAATTTGCAAAATAGGTAGGTTTTGGTGTGCCAGCTGTGTGGTTTTGGCAGATTTTCCGTGAAGCGTAAGCTTGGAAATTAGTTTGTTGATGGATCATCTTGGGGGAAGTAAAGGGAGCGTGTTGAGAGTGAGACCCTTTTGTCTGGTTGGTGAATAAATGTTGTGCTATCTTATCCCCTGAAGATGTTTTGTAGCTGTTGCATGACATTTAATACTTTTGTATGATTAAGTTAGTACAGACCTTGTATGCAATCAAAGAGACAACTGTTTGTACTGGTATATCATGAATTTGTTGAACTAAGCAAATATAATTTTTTTTAAGTTTCGGTTACTTCTAAACTCTATTGAGTTGGCTGAAGTGATCGTGGGGTCGTGGAAAATAGATTATCTCAATAATTGATTACATCTGTAATCTGCTTTCATTACAATAGATTATTCAATATCAGTTTGTTGTTATGCTAAGTTTAGTAAAATATAGTTATGAAACAATTAATTTTGATTGAGGCTCCAAACAATTAGCTTTTATATATAAAAGAACTATGTATTAAGTTGAAAAAAATTATTATTTTTTTGAATAACAATTGTGATAAATTTCTGGATATTGTCTGAAATTGATATTCCCTAAAAAGTTCTTAATCTATTGGCAATTGACTCCTGTCTTCTTTTTCATACAAAGGTTCTCGTGCATATTATATATTTTCAATTAAAAAATTAGATTTGAAAGTCAGAACATTTTTAATGTATTTTTTAAAAATAATATCTTTTGAAAGTAATTTCATGTCAGTAGATAAAACTAAATTGGTTTATAAAGTTAATAAAAGTAAAGATAGATTATTATATATATGGAAACTGCTTTAACAAATTTGAACGGACCATTTGTTTCTGGTGAGTTATGTCGCTTACGAATTTAATTTATGTTAAATGTAAATTTAATACTATTAGTTTTGGGCGAGAATGTCTTAAAAAAAAGTTAAATTTTAAAATTTAAATTCAATTATCTTTCAAGTTAGCTAACCATGACGACATGGAAAGTGTTTGGTCGTGTTTTTTTATGTGTTTTTCTTGGTACAGCTTCCTTTGTGTTCTTTTTGTATTTCACGTGTTAAAGTAAGATGGTTTCTTTATGTACTTCCAATTTCCTGCATTTTTTAATTTTTTCTTAATCTCTAAATTACTTTTTTGATGCGAATAATTCTTTTTTCTATAATTATTATCCACTTGTCATCTATTTTTTTAGCCTAAACTTAGTACCGCACCTCCCTTCATTTAACTTGAAATCTAGTTTAAAAAATTATCAAATTTTGAATTAGTTTAAAAACTCTCCAAATTTTAAAATTCGGTTTAAAAATTCACGAATTAAAATCTCATTAAAACAAGTCATCAAACCTTGAAATTCATTTTGAAACATAGTTAAGAAACTCATTATATTTTGAAATTGAATTAAAGAAAGAACTAAATTTTAAAATTCGATAATTATATTAAATATCACTTAACTTAAATTTAACATCGGACTTCCTTTCACTTAACCGGATTCTAAAATTCAGTTTAAAAATTATCAGATTTCAAAATTTAAGAAAAAATGTATGTTGAATTTTAAAATCTAATAATTTTCTAAATTGAATTCCGAATTTTAATTAAGCGAAAGGAAATGCGAAATTAAGTTTAGATCAAAAAAGAACTTAATAGTAGGTATAAGAGTCAGAACTTTTTTCTCTTATCAATGTAGTTTATTTATACATTAAGAGAAAGTTTCAAGACACTGGGAAAAAACTAGTAGTTTATACATTAAGAGAAAGTTTGGAGAAACACGGAAAAAACTTAAAGGAAGTTAGATAACTGATTTTTCAAATATAGTTTAACTTTAATAGATAGTAAGATTATGTTAAGATTATCTATGATTTTAATCAAAATAAATAATACTAAGTTTAATAATTTAATCATGTTTTATTTAAATATGTATTGTATAAATTTGTATTATTTTTTACAGCTTGTAAAATTGTGTCATGAATAGATGATTAATACTAAAAAAAAGCAAGTCTTTTCAAGTCATTAAATAATATATTTTTAATAATTATAATATATCAATTATAAAGAAGTAAATACACTCAATATATAAGTAATACAATACTTACATTAAATTTGTTGAGTTATTTACTCTTTACGACAATTTCCTAAACTTCCTTGTGATTTTACATAGCAGATTAATCCATCTTGAGATTACATACTCAATTTGATGTTTTTAATACTATGTTAAGAAAAAAAATTATCTTTTGCATAGCAAGTTGAGTCCAATAGAAATAATGTCAACCTTTGATTAAGATATGATATAAGGGTGAAGATGTAGTATATGTTTCGATGATCTTTTTCAAGCATTCCATACATGGAAGTTCATCCATAAATATGATCATGGAGCAAGAACAACTTATTGAAGGAATCACTACAAGAAATAAGGCTAAAATCTAAGAAAGGAAGTCAAGTTTAAACCCTACACACACCTTAAGGGGGTTTCTTACAAGGTAAGCTAACGAATTAAATGAAGAGTTAAAAAAAGGCTAGTTTAGACATTATGATTCTTAATTATGAAGAAAAATGTAAAATTATCTGTCTTTTGTACTTTTTAGAGCTAATCCCATTGTTTGGAATAAGGGATTATGTATGCATTCCTAGGGTTAGTTTACAAGTTCTACATGTAGCAAAGGGTTGGAAGCTCACCAGTAAGTCCATACATAAACATATCTAAGTGAGCTTGTGTTAGACCTCTTATAAGTAAGCATTATAAGAGGAGAAAGCAAAAGTATTGTCTCCAGTAGATAGGATAATGGGCTCATGTAAGGGGTAGAAATGATAAGTCAATATATAAATAAATACACAATATACAAGTTTCTAATACTTTAACTAGTTTCATTGTTTTTCACAAAAATTAGATAAAGGAATTGAGATTAAATGTTAGTAACATTCCCCGTCAGGAATTATGGAAGCATGCTCGTGTGAACAAGGGCGACAGAATTGAAAACAAAGAGGTTCATCAAGTTTGGAACAAATGTGTAAGTGATATCTTTTGATATTATATTTGTTTGTATGAAATGAGAATAAGTGTGATATTCTTATTTGTTGTTTAAGTAGTATTGTCACAATACATTAAAAAGAGATGAGTGATGCTCACCCAAACATTCTGGCTCAAGATTTATGTCTCCCATCAAGATCATGTTAAGACAACAGGATTTGGAGTCAGCACAAAGATTATTTCCCAGCCAAAAAGCATTGTACATTCCAAGAGCATGATAGATTGACTGCTCAAATGAAAGAAATGACTGAAAGAATGGCATAAATGGAGAATGAGATTATGTCACTCAAAAAATTGGCACATCAAATACTATAAAACAAACTGATATTTGTGTCAATAGTGGCAAAGGGAGTTACACATTTTCATCAAATAGTTTTCCTGAGGTAACTAACTTATAACATTAGTGTAAGTTGCTTACTTTAAAAGCTCTCTACATTTGCTTACTTTAAAAGTTCTCTACATTTACTAACTATCTTATAATTATATTTTAAAATGTAGGGGTCTCAAGTTGTAAATTTTTTGTAGCATCACCATTACTATGCTCGGTTGCCCATGGGAAATTACATAATTTTAAGAGTGATACACTACATGGTAGATATCTACCTAATGGACATATAAAAGTTAGAGTAGATATTGCTCTAGAGCCAAATGTATTATTTCTTATACCTAATGTTGATGATGACATGTTGGCAATAGGACAAGCAATAGGTACATTTGTGGTATGGCTAATCAATCTCTTAAAGGTTGTTGATGAGGTATGTTTATACAACTATATTCATTCATATGTATGAACATATATTTAATCTATTAGCTAAGTTGTTTAATTGATGATGTTTTAGGATTCCACTCTATCTAAAAGGAAAAAGAAGAATAATACAAATGAATTTGTTGCACCTAAAAAGAAATGTCAAGGGAAAATGGTCATTCAAGATACTCCTCAAAAATGATTTCATCCTATTCTTCCTTAATAGTGCAACTACCTCTCTTCATACCTGAAACTAAAGCCATCAAAGTTACTTTCCCAATACAAACGAAGAAAGACATATTTGGACTAGACGAGCATAAAAAAATCGTTGATGCAGAAATTATTAACTATGCATGGCTAGGGGCAACTACAATTTCTCTTTCTCTCTTTCTCTCTCTCTCTCTCTCTCTCTCTCTATATATATATATATATATATATATATATATATATATATATATATTCAATACATCATACTACTTTTTATCATTAAGTTCATTCTTTGATTAACACCTCTTATCATATTAATAATATATTCTTATATTTTTCTTTTATAAGGTATCTATATCAAAATCTTATTAAGCCAAATCTTAAGGCATTCTTTTCTTTTATCACCCCAAATCACAACACATGAAATACCGATGAAAGAGAGAATGAAAACAAATAGTTCTCTTTTTCTTAATAATGGGGTGATTGATATGTTTTTTTCTTGCACCAATATAAGGTAATACCTTAGTTCCCAATTCTATCAATAATGTTAGTATTTGATTGGCTTGATTCATAAGTAGAAGATTATGTCATGAGTGAGTCCCATTTTCTAAGAGGTAAGAGGAATGTGGAATAAGAAAATAAAAGAGTGTAGCAACAAAAGCATTTTGTGGCTCAATGCTGAAAAGGAAGTGTATAAGTGAAAACTAGGGGTGTATTTAGCTCCTTGTACATTTCTTTCCAAAATAAACTAATTTTGGCTTTATTTTGTAACTCGAACCATTTAATTTCATGTTTGGAATGAATCAAACTTTTACTTCAATTACATCAATAAACATTAGAATATCTAAAAAAAATTTATGCAACTAAAAATCATTTTGTAAGACCTTTTAATTTCCAAACTTAATAAGTCTACTTGTCACAAATCCTATTGAAATTAGTTATTTAAACACAAGACTTGATCAAAAATTTGAAACTAAATTTAAAATATTGACATAAATATGCACTCATCAAATTGGTATATAAAGTTTTTTAATTTATTACAATTTTGTCGTCGTGTCACTTTTTATGTGAACTTTGAGTCCAACGAGTAACCAAAAACTTATTATCATATTTATGATACTATCACTATATCATATTTATGATACTATCACTATATCATTTTCTATACTTAATGAATTTCAACCAATATAAAAAGTTGTTGTAAAAAGTATTTTTCTATAATATTTTTAATATATAATAAAAGTAATCGAGATTAAAAAATATCACAGGCATTATTTAAAAGTTTACCTGTACAAAAGTTTTTTTTATATACTTAAACAACCAAGAAATTCTGAGGAAGAACTTATTCAACGATCATAAAGACAAATCCCATAGATTTAAAACCTATACCCTTACAAAAAAAATAACAAAAGTAAATAAAAATCCATAAATAACCTAAAGCACAAATAGAAAAACCTCATTGATTGAACCAATAAATCAACAAAGAAATAAGCAAATAAAACCAAAACTAAAGTAATCCAACTCAACAAGAAGAGAATCCTAAATTGACCTTAAAACCATGAAGTAAATATTTATTTCTACATAAATGTGTAAATTGTAGAAGGAATATTTAAAGTTTTCAAAATTCATTGTGTTTTTTCAATTTAATATTATTTTAATTACTGCAAATTTTAGTTTATTCTCATAAATTAAACTTATATAATAAATATACATTTTTTCATTAAATACCGGGAAATGACCCCGTGAATCATACGGATATAGAAAGTCCTAAGAATATATTTACGAAAAAAAAGCATATTAACATATATGTTTTTATATAACATTTATATATATTTTTATTGGATTTAGACAAATAAATATTGATTCATTAATAAATTACACCTGTTGTAGTAAAAGTGTGTCAAAAATATCTTTTTTCTGTTTACCGCTGAAGAGTATATTGTGTTGCCACGTATGATCTGAGATAAACTCTTAAACGGCGTCAGTGAAAGAATGACGTGACGATTCACGCTGTTTCAACAAACCATGTTCTTTAGCATTGTTTATGTTTGCTACCACGCCCAAGGGCTTGAAAAGCAAACAGCAAATTTCCCGGTTGGAGAAGCAGAGCATGTACAAGTTCCATTTTCACCAAATTCTTCGCATTTTTCTCTGTAGCTGGTTACAGTGTTGACCAAAAATGCAAACGCTTTGTGTTTGTGGAGATAAGCAATGGCGTTTCGACGCCGATTCATTCTTCGGCTCTCGCCTGTCGTTTCCGACTACTCATTTGTCATTTTGGCCACCCAGAAGAAGTTCAGTAGTGTCCATGGTGGTTAAGCGCAGCCCCAAGCGTCTCAAATACACCACTGGTTCTCGATTCACCAAGGTTTGTTTACGCCTCCATTAACTTTGATTGTTACTCATAAAGAGAAAATAATATAGTCCATGCATTTGCAAAGATATTTCACATTGTTATGTCATCTACTTTGTGATGGGATGACACGTTGATTTTTTTTAGAATTATCTTAAAACATCATTACAATTGTGAATTCTAATTAATTGAGACTGCAAAATCTTGACATTGGATATAACTTTAACTTTAATGTTAATGGTCGATGAACAGGAAGATGGATTGGTGTACACTGAAGCAGACCCATCTGCCTCTGATTCTTGGAAATTGGAACCGATTGTCAATCTCTTGAAACAAGGTGCGGTCGGAGTTATCCCCACTGATACCCTGTAAGTGCATCTCAATCCTCCTGGCATAATTTCCAAATTGTTTCCTTTTTTATTTGTTTAAGTAACTCAACTGCTTATTCGGTCCATTGTAGTTCATTTGACATGCATTTCATTCGCTTGTACTATTACATTTGATATGGGTTTTATGCTTTTGTTGTGGTATATTCAGCCTTCTTTTTTACCACTTTCAACTCTTTGTTTAATATAATTTGAAATATCATTTGCATAATCCTAATGCATTGGATGAACTGGTTAACGTGGAGAAAAAAATTTTAAGAAACATCACATTTTTATTGTTCTTAACGTGTGAAACGTGTATATGATGATGAAATTATTCGCTGCTGTGTGAACTCAAACGAAATGCCGGGAGACATGTCTTTTTGAATCTGAAAATGTTAATTGTTAAGATTATTAGTTTTTGTTTGGAGGGGACTCGAACCGATGCCTCCCACTCTTTTCACTTTTACCCACCAGGTCAACTCTATATTCCAACCAACTATAACAAATTATCGAAGCGATTAACTAACTCTACTAGAATTGTACTTTTCTGATATGGTGTCACTAAATATGCAATACTTCGTAAATTACTTTGAATGATTTTTAGTGTCACATTAATTAGTGCCAATATTATCACTGGCTGCTAATGGAGGAATATGAACGAAAGCCAGAATTCCACCATAAAAGCACACTAGTTATCAGATTTCATTTTAAAACCAATTGGGTATTATGCGAAGTTACTCAACAAATATATGTAAGCCACCTCCTAAGAATTGAGGTAGACTATTTGGGATTTCTCCACAACCCCACTCCACAAATACTTACCAAACCAGGCAGGCCTACTAGAATAGGGTGATTACTAAGATGGATTAGAGGATTTGATACTGTATCAGATTTAATCTTAAAACGTAATGGCATTAAGCCAAATTGTCCAACAGAAATACTAGCCGCAGCCCTAGAATTGAGGCAGGTGATGTGGAATTTCCCAATAACAATGCTGTCTAAGGTGCCACCATAGCAGGCCTCCCTTCCCAAATTACTTATGATGGCTAGCAAAACAATTGCAACTCCATTCCCCTACCATTTAACTACATTGATTAGGGTTAGTTATGCAAACCTTTGCTAACATCCTAGAGGTGTGAACCAAGTTATTAAATGAATAATTGTGTTAGGTCTGCTTGGGTAATTACTTATGTTTATTTTGAGCATATGATGAGATAGTTTACTGGCTATGTTTTATTTGTGTTAACTACTCTGGGAAATTTTGGACTTTATAGAAGTGATTATGAATTTAGAAAACCAATCATAACTATATTGTGTTATCTACACTCTGCATCAGACTAAACTATGTAAAATTTACACTATGTAGGGCTAATTTAGATTATACAAAATTCTAGGTGATTGACACCAAAACCAAGGATCATTAGCAGTAAACTTACCACTTTTTGTAAAAGCAACCTATCCATTTTTGGCCAAATATAACTTAACCAATTTAAGCAGAAGTAGAGAGAGTTGGTTGTTCCTTCTGCACCCACTTCTTGAGAACTTAGAGCCATTCTCAAATAAGTCAAGGTAAGAGGATGAAAAGTCTAAAGTCATACTTTGTTTTTCCTTCTCAAATTATGCCTTTCAATCACCCTTAAACTAAACCAATCCCTTCAACAACTCAAGTTATGCAACATGAATACTCAATCACATGCCAACTTAGTTGTGATGAAATGGGTTTATCCATGTTGAAATGTATAAATGTGTGCCTTTTAGTGTTTTAGGACTTTATAGAAGTGGTTAGAAAACCAATCACAGTTGAATTAAACTATATTGTGTGATCCTACACTACGTCAGATTTACACTATGCGGGGCTAGTTTATATTATACAAAATTCAAGCTGATTAACACCAAAGCCAAGGATAATTAGCACCTAAAATTCCACTTTTGGTAAAAGCAACCTATCTATTTTTGGCCTCTCTCTTTCCTATAGTTTAACAACAACAAAAATGTCTATTATTGACTACAATGCGAATAATAATTGAGTTTCATATTAAGGTGTTACACCTCTATTGTGGTTGGAGTTGCACCTACTTGTTTTGGAAAATTACTCCTAGCACTCCTTGTTATATATTATTTTAATATATTGACCTGATATCAGGGTTCTTATCTATACTAATCAGTGTTTCATATTCTAGATAATTATGGCAGAAGAAAATGTGTCTACATGTCAACTATGGGTCATATGATATATAACAATCCTATTATCCATTAACATTCATTTTATTCTAATATTCTTGTAAATGAATTGGAGGTCCATATTGCCGAGCATCTCTACTTTTCTCTATTAATGTAGGTATGCAATAGTATGTGACCTTAGAAGCCACTCTGCCATTGAACGTCTTCGTAGGTAGGTAGCTTTTTTCAAATCTTGCATTCTATTCCTAGATACTCCATTTTCCTTGTCATTAACATATGATGTAGTGTTTTGTTGCAGAATCAAGAATATAGAAGCTTCAAAGGTGAGGAGTACAGCTTGTCTTGGTCAATTGTATATTATCTTCCAACTGGCCTCCTACTTTTCACATTATGGTGCTACATGTTTGCAATCACTTTACATTTGTTTAGGTTGGATTGTGTTTGACCAAATTAGCATTGTCCTCGATGTATATCTAATCCTGGTACTATTACTTGCAACCATTAATGTACTTGCAGCCTCTTAGCATCTTGTGTCATTCATTTCGGGACATAGACAAGTACACAGCTGGATTTCCACGTGGTGATGGTCAAGGCCATGCGAATTTATTCAAAGCTGTTAAGCATCACTTACCTGGTCCTGTAAGTGGGCTCTCTGGTTCTAATGAAAAAACATTTAATGAATTTGTGAATACTTCAATGATTTTTGGATGGGAAAGTTTAATTGGTGTAACATGCCTTTTTCTGTGGTGACCCCTCATTACCGGTCTACTTTATATAATCAAGTAGGCTCTTATTTATTGCCTAGTGTTTTTTGCAAACTTGAATGATCTTGATAAGAATGGTGTATTTTATCAATATTAGATAAAGAACAAAACCCTAAAATTTAACACAAACTTCAGATTTGTTTGCTGAAAATCTTAAGGAACTAGGAGTTTTACAATTGCAGTTGTTGGGTTAAAGGATGTCTATATCAGTTCATATATCTTTAGTTGTTGTGGGTATGTATTTGAAGGCCTATGATGATTACTTCCAGATATTTTTTATGCTACTAATTCATTCTTACACAGCAGTGTGTATGCAGTATAGTTTTAGACAATTATTTATTATTTGTAATTGAGTGGCAGTATACATTCATCCTAATTGCAAGCAAAGAATTACCTAAGCAATGCATAAGGTTTGGGACGTCTTCTGCCAAATATGCATCAAGAAAAAATGTGGGTGTACGTATGCCTGATGATGCCATTTGTCAAACAATACTGAAGGAGATGGATGCGCCATTGATATGTACAAGGTTTGTTTAATTGTTTGATCCGTGTTTCCACTTTTACTTGGTAAAGAAAGATTGTTCTCTAAGAACAAGTGTTGTCATGAGGTAAAATGTGGACTGAGGCAGTCACCCAGAAATCATCACTTTGATACGGCAACATTTGACATCATTCAAGTGATATGTATACTTAAGAATAACTTAAAATTTTAATATAACAAACCATGACAAAATGACTTTTAAATGCAAACAAATCAGGACATGACATCAAAAGATAAAATAATCAAAATTGATAATGCCATACATGATAAATACAATACAATATTGCACATCCAATCCAATGCAAAATCTGAGAGTAAAGAGACATAACTTGGAAATCTGTTACTTCAGTCCAAATTATATGAGGCTGTGTGAATATGAAATATGAGCATATACAATAAAAGGATAAAGGGAATTTTAGGTTCTAGATTGTAAGGCATTGATGGCTGAAAAGTTCCAATGTTTTGTTTGTTCTTTTCCCTTGAATACAAGTTGTATAAGTTCAGATGGTGTTAGGAGGAAAAATACACCTTTAGTTTAGACAGTTGAATTATGAGGTTTATCTATTGATCGACGAAAGTGATAGAGTAGAGACTCTGAATAATATTTTGTTTATTGCTAGAACTTATTACACTATGAAACCTATAACTGTGTCTATCTTAATAGTATCTAAAAGGGAAATAAAGCATAAGAAAATGTGGTAACCAATCCTAGGAAATAGTTAAAAAATAGCGCACTAATCCTTAAAAGTTGTCTAGTATATTGTTAGATATGATCAAGATAATAGTGGAATTTCACATTTTCTGTTACGTATCCGAGTAGGAGACGTAATTAATCACAATCACAGTAGGTAGAAAAGACAATGATTGAATGATAATGGACGAATGAATCTCTTTTATTGATGGTAATATCTGAATAAACAAAAGTAAACAAGGGTAATTGGGAGCATAACTTCCTTCAATTACTTAGGAGCATAACCTCCCTCACAGGAGTATAGCTGCCTGTCAACAAAACTCAATAATCAAAAGCATGCCCTTAACAATAGCATCTAGCTTTACTTATATTAAATATTTTCCTAGAATATAATTCTATTTACTATAATTAACTTATACTGAATATTTCCCTAGGATATAATTCTATTTACTATAATTAACTTATACTGAATATTTCCCTAGGATATAATTCTATTTACTATAATTAACTTATATTGAATATTTTCCTAGAAGATATATATATTTACTCTAATTAACTTATACTGGATATTCTCCTCGAATGTGGCTCCCTTTTACTGTAATTAGTTCCCGTCCATCCTAACAGCTGCTACAGTTAGGATGGTAATTCTTCAACCGTTCGGCTCAGGTCCTTCACTACTTCCCACCGCTCAGCTCGAGCTCTCACCATCTTCTGTTGTTCGGCTCGACTCCCCCACAGCCTACCACCTTTCGGCTTGACCTTTCTCTGCTTCCCTCCTTTCGGCCTGGTTGCTCCCCGTTGTTCACCGTTCGGCCTGCTTGTTCCCCGTTGTCCACCTTTCGGCCTGATCGCTCCCAGCCTTCCACTGTTCGGCCTGGTCATTCCCCGTCTTCCACTGTTCGGTGCCCTTCTCCTTCTCTCCTATACCTTCTTCTCTCATATACCTTGTACCCTAACATATTCCAATATCCTTCCTCAACCTGTAGTTAACTTAGTTTCAAGCTTGTTGTACATAGACCCATTTAGAGAAAAATATATCAAAAAGTATAATTTCGGGTGTGCAATTATGAGACCGGAGTGATTCATTGGGAAAACCACAGACCAAATATGATTGGAAAAGCTGTGGGGCCTATATGATATGGGAAAGTAACTCAAGGAAAGTTGGAGGGCCAGGGCTTGCTAGGATGATGCCTCAATATCCTAAAATGCAAAAATCAAATTGGAGAGCACAGATCTGAGTAAAGGAGTTAATGATTCAACAAGGGAGAGAGACAATGATACCAAACAATAGTGAAAAACTTAAAAAAGGAGCCATGAACCAAAAAACTGATGAACTACGGGCAGATTTGTTGATCCGTGATAGAAAACACTAATACACTGATTTTATTATCTAAAGATCAAAGATACAAAAGGGAAATAGGAACTCTTTATAGAAAACTAGCCACATATAAAACAAACTATAGTAACTGCCTTGCAAACAGTTACACTAAACCAAAATAGAAATAGCCAGCTGTAACAACATAACCAACTAATAACATTGTCTAACCTCAATTACATCGAGTTTGCCCCTAAGAAAGGAAAATCTAATTGGAGGCAAAGTCTTGATGAGAAGATCTACCCACTGGTCTTCACCTTGAATATGTTGACAAACGCACTCTTCGTTTGTAACCTTTTCTTGAACAAAGAAAACATCCATATATTTGGTTCTAGCATGAATAACAAGATTATGAGCTAGAATAATAGCACTTAGATTGTCTGTTAAAAGAAACCTAAATTCTATATTGGATTAATCAAAAACAGACACAAATATGACTCCTCAAAGTAAGGCAACATTTTATTGAATTGAAAATACAAAGACAATCAACAACTTCCAAGGTAAGACATTCCCTTCTACACAGGACAGACCCTATTCTACAACAAAACATTCAACAACCTCCTCCTAGACATGGCCCCTTCCTTAAAAGATAAAACTATCTAACTACTGATCAAAACTCCTCATAACTGCGGATTAAAACTCCTCCTAATTACCCTAACCACTTCTTACTAACTTCTACGTTTTTTTCCTAAGGTAAACCATCAGGGTTCTATCAATATTTCCACGGGTCTGAACAACCTTGTCCACAAGCTTGAAGTTAGTAAATTGGTCCTGAATCAGTCCTTCTTCCCATGTTGCACCTTCAGGACCATCCTCCTTCCATTTGATGAGAAGTTGTGGGATAATGAGTCTGTGCATGGAATGCATTCTGCGATCTAAAACTCTTAGGGGGACACAACTTGGCTCCTTATACTGCAGCTCCATTGGAAGATCCTTCTCCATTTGTAGGTTGTGATTTCCCACTGCTGGTTTAAGCTGCGAAACATGGAAAACTGGGTGTATCCTCGCTGATGTTGGCAATTGCAAGTGAAAGGCTACCAAACCTACTTGCTTGAGGACTAGGAAAGGTCCATAGTACCTAGGTGCAAGTTTAGGATGTAATCTGGCAGGCATGGACATCTGTCTGTGTGGTCTTATCTTTAAAAACACTTAATCCCTCACCTGAATTGAGGATGACCTCCTCTTCCTATTAGAAAATTTCACCATTTGTTCTTGGGCTCGGCTAAGGTGAAATTTCAACTGCTAGAGAGCCTCATCCCTATCCCTGAGGTCCTATGCTACAACCTCTATTGCGGTTTCTCCCGAAACAAACGGGATAGAGTGGGTGGTGCTCTACCATATACTATTTCAAAAGGTTTGCACTTGGCTGACGCCTGGAAACTTGTATTATACCAATATTTAGCCCATGGTAGAAAGGAAATCCAAGTTTTTGGTTGTTCAGAACTAAAACATCTCAAATATGTCTCTAAAGTCCTATTCAAGACCTCAGTTTGTCGATCATATTCGGATGGTAAGTTGTACTCATCAATAATCTTGTACCCTAAAGATAAAACAATTCCTTCCAGAACAAACTCATAAAGGTAGAGTTTCTATCACTGATGATGGAGGACGAAATCTCATTTAACTTCACCACCTCCCTTACAAAGACTTCGGCTATGGACCTGGCTGAATAGGGGTGTTTTAGGGTGATAAATTGTCTATACTTGCTTAACCTATCAATCACCACTAATACCACATTATACCCATTAGATTTGGGTAGTCTCATAATAATGTCTGTACTTATGTCTTCTCATATAGCATGCGCAATAGGCAATGGTTGTAACAAACCTTTAGGTGAGGAAGCCAAGTACCTGTGTCGTTGGCACACCATACAAGAAGCTAGAAAATCTGTCACATCCCTCTTCATGCCTATCCAATATAGACTTTGTGCCAACTTCCTATATGTTCTGAAAATGCCAGAATGACCACCTGTTTGTGTAACATGAAACTATGCAATTAACCTCTGAATCCACCCAAATTGGGCTGGAACCAATCTACCTTTTTAGTGCAGCCTATCATTCTCCATTGTGCAATTTGGATGAGAGCCAGGGTCTTTTTCCAAATCACTCTTGATATTTTGAGGAACTGGATCATGTTGTACTTCCCCCAACACCTCTTGAAAATCCTACTAGAATGGCCTTGAAATTCCCTTTAATTCTAATTCCTCAGTCTCTTGCTCCTCCAATTTACGTGACAGAGCATCGACCACCCTATTAGACACTCCTAATCTATATTCAATCTCAAATTCATAACCCAATAGCTTGGCCAACCAATTCTGTTGATTTTGAGTGGTAATACGTTTCTCCAACAAATATCTTAAAATTCTTTGATCCGTATGCACCACAAACCTTTTTCCCAACAAATATGGTCTCCAATGTTATATAGACAAAACTAAAGCCATTAGTTCCTTCTCATAGATAGATTTTGACACGGAAGAATCATTTAATGCTTTGCTAAAATAAGCAACGCGCCTTTGATTCTGGGACAACACAGCCCCTATCCCTCTAACCGAAGCATCACGCTCCACATGAAAAGTTTCGGAAAAACCTGATAATGCCAAAATCGGGGCAGTGGTAAGGGCAGTTTTGAGAGCATTCAGGTTGCCATGCCTTTGGAAGTTCATTCAAACTGTCCCTTTCGCAAAAGATCTATCAGGGGTCTAGCGATCTTCACACAGTCCTTGATAAACCTCCTATAGTGTCCCATAAGCCCAAGGAATCCCCTAAGAGTTTTGATACTATGTGGTTCTGGCCATTCTCATACAGCCTCAACCTTTTCCAGATCAATCTCCATCTCTTTTCTCGAAATGACATGTCCCAAGTACCGAATTTGTTTTTTTTCCAAACTCACACTTCTTGTTGGCGAAAAGGTATTGCTGCCATAATGTTTGAAGGACTTGCTTGAGATGTTCCTTATGTTGCTCCCATGATTTGCTATAAATTAAGATATCATCAAAGAAAACTAACAGATTTCCTCAAAAATTGCTTGAATACCGTATTCATCACACACTGAAATGTTGCGGGGGCATTGGATAATCCAAAAGGCATCACTAAAAAATCATAATGCCCTTGGTGTGTGTGGAAAGTTGTCTTTGGAACGTCTCCTTCCTCCATTCTGATTTGGTGGTAACGAGCCCTCAAATCCACTTTGGAAAAATAACTAGCCCCATTTAATTCATCCAACAACTCCTCTATTACTAGAATGAGGAATTTGTTTGGTATAATCAATAAAAAACCTCCAACTTCCATCTCTCTTCTTTATTAGAATAATTAGACTTGAATATGGGCTATTACTTGGACTTATTTTCTCTGAAGTCAACATTTCTGCTACTTGTTTTTCAATCTCTGTCTTCAGCAAGCGAGGATATCTATAAGGCCTCACATTAACAGGATCCACGCCCATTTTGATAGGGATTTGGTGGTTCATTTGTCTGTTGGGAGGTAGCCCCTTTGGTTCTTGAAAAATTTGCTCAAAACCTCCTAGAATTTCGTCTAACTCTGCTTGTTGGTCTGGGGTTAATTGTTTGTTTTCATTCACCCTCTCTTCCAGTTCAGCACTGCCCATGCTCCACACCAAAGACACCACTTCAATCTCAATCTCCTTTAATAAAGCTTCAGGTGATATGACTCTTTTAGTTAAGGTGGGATCTCCTTTTATCGTCACCTCCCTCTCTCCTTGGTTGAAACTCAATCAGATTCTTCCAATTTATCTTAACCTCTCCTAGGGTAGCCAACCACGACACTCCCAAAATGAGGTATACCCCACCTTACTGAGTCAATACAGATTCACCCCAAAAATCTCAATAGTTGAAAAGAACCAGTGTTCTATGACAAGAAGCAAGAAAATCCTCTCAATGAAGTCAAAATTCAAATATTGATTATCAAAAGCTTTAGGTTTTAGATATCATGTTGAACATAGTAAAACTAGGTATATGACTAATCTCCCTCTTTTCTAAAACACATAGGATAATATATTTATAGTGAAGAATGATACAAGTATATATGGCAACCAAACATAAATATGGTAAATAGAAAATATTGTTAAAAACAATATCAACAATATCTACCAATATCAAACAATAGCAAAAGTCTATGTTTCCCTAATTAACATAAAACAACATATATTTAATACAGAAGTTTATCAAAATATGTACATAGTCTATCAACATCAATTGGCTACAAAGCATTTTAGTGAGGGTAAATGAATACTTCCACCTAACCTAATGTGGCCACATCTCTAACCTTTTAGCCTCTGGCATCCTAGTAGGAGGTCTACTATGACTCTATATCACAGCTCCCAGGCAGTATATTGTTGTGTAGATCTCATTGATTAGATGTTAGAGATCTCACATTGATTAGAGATGTGATAATATATTAGTATATAAATAAGTGTAGATCTCATTTTACAAGTTGATTTTTTGAAGTTAAGTGAAACATAAAATCCACTTTTTAAGATTTGTTAGGTATATTCCGTCACCTGCTATCAGGCCACTTACAAATATCTATCTCTCACACACAATATGTCTAGTGCTAGTTTATTTTTCGTTTGGAAGTCAGCATGCCTGTACCCAAAAAATAATATTGTTTTCATGTCATTTTTTTGTTAAACATGATTCTAGTACAAGTAATGATCATGTAACTCTAGTGTTGGACTGGAAATTTTTAAATTTTACTAAAACTTTCTTTTGAGATGAAGCTTTCCAAACACAATTGCCACTTCAAACTTAAGTTTAACCAAAATCAAAGATCATAAAAAATTGAGTTTGTATACGGTCACCCAAACACATACTTAATGAGTGCTTATGCACTACTACTAACTGCAGCCTCACCTCCCCTGATACCTCCCCCCGAAGTTGTGTTAATATATGGAGAATTATAGTTTATACTTGTACCTTAGCAGTACTTTGACATTTTTCTTCTTTCTTTTAGCATCAAGTTCCAGAAGGAAGATGAATGGATGATTGACCCAGTTATAATAGCTGATACATATGGACCAGAGGTATCACTCTTTCTATTTTATTAAGGGTTAATGAATTTTGTCAGGATAAATAACCATGCAAAAAATTATTTTGACCCCTATTCTAAAGAAAAAGGGAAATATTATTGGCATTTGTGCTTGATAGAAATAGATCACATCATGTACATAGTACACTATATTTGCATAGTCGTCTTTCTCTGGGGAACCTTATTAGTATCTGACTGCACACATGCTTTGCATTCTATTTATTATATAAGACTATTTTGGTATGCTTGGCTCCACAAACCTAAAGGTTTCAAAGGTTCGCCTATTTGCTACTATAAGTTTTTATAGCCTTTGTTCTGTTATATCTTTCACCCAGAAAGCAGAGAAGGCAAATTTTAAAAGGAGAAAAGAGAAGCTTATAACACCTTTTTTAAGGTGGTTAATTTTCTCGTAATACCTCTGTTTTGGTTGTTCAGGGTCTTGATTTTGTTATTGATGGTGGTGTAAGAGTGGCCGACCCATCCACGGTTGTTGACATGACAAAAATGCCTCCCAAAGTACTACGACAGGGAAAGGTAGTAAGCCGTCAATTTGCATGTTCTCACTTTTTGATAGATGAAGTACTAATTTTACTGAGCATCTGAAGAATGTGATGCCACTACTCTTTTACTAATAATAAGAGTCTTAAGAAACACTAGCTAAGAAATGTTAAACACATTTTGTGTTTTAAATATGAGAAAATGTTTCTTCTTTTCATTAAATACTTGTGTATACACTTCAAATATTTGATGTTCAGGGTCCTATTTTACATTGGATGGAATTTGAAGATGATCAGAAAACTGAGATCGATAAGGATCTCATCCCTGCCGGCATTTGAAAGAAATCATCCTCTCCATTGAAGATTTAGCATTCCAAAACCAGTTCAATACTCTTACCGACTTTGCTTCAAGCTCTCGTAGAATTGGACTCATTTTTCTTTTATGGGGGAGGGGCAAAATAGGAAAAAAAGAAAATGTATAAACACATGAACAAACGTGAGAATGTAAAGGATATAATTTCATGTAAATAAAAGTTCATATTCGCCAACCTAATAATGAATTTCCATAATTGTATATCTGATTTACTAAGTACTTCAATGGAAAGAAAAAGCAAATTTCTTTATAAATCAGAACTAATATATGTACAAGGTAAAAAATAATGTTCCAAATGTTGGAATGAGAAGATTTTTACTAATTAATGTATGCGTTAAATTAATTTTAGTTAATGAAAAAAATTATTTATTGTATTTTATTAACTGCCTTTGACGAAGATGTAATGTACTTTTACTAGATGTTATGAAGAAGGAAACAAAAGACTGCCATTTTTGTCTTATACAATGAAGTAGAAACAATGGTGTTGGCTCGATACTGAACGTATAAGCTCCTAACAATAGCTTCTTGCACCCTTATGCTATATGAACTCCATTATTGTCTATAGTCTAAAATACAATAGCTTCATGCACCCTTATGCTATATGAACTCCATTGTTGTCTATAGTCTAAAATACTATCAATCTCTAAGGTTTTCAGCACATCTTCCTCTTCTCTCTTCAAAACTGCTCTCAATCTCTCACTTTTTTGTTTTAGATATAGGTTACAATTATTAACTCTAGTTTTCCTTTCTTTTTTTATCTTTTCTTATTCTATATTTATCTTTTTAATTAAAATAATATCAACAACTACTAAATCTTTTAATTTCATATTTATTTTTCTTTCTTTACTTTCTACATCCCTATAACTTCATTTCTACAATACTTAATGAGGGTAAAATGACCTTTTTGTTCCTGGGCCCAAAATACAAATTAAAACTGAAAAGTTTACTTTAACTCTCTTTCTTTCAAGAATTTGACTCACTTATTCAATTCTAAATCATCTTTCTACCCTCAATTCAACACATCATATTAATAACAACACACTACACAAATCATTCAAATAACAATATACCAATAATATGTTCCACATAATCAATAATAACCTTAAATAATAAATATAATAATTATAATTTTAGAAAACATCTAATTATCAAACTTCAATTATCAAACAATAATTGTCTAAGTCTCATAACCACATTATTCCCTAATTATCACATTTTTCTAGGGTCTTACATGGAAAGTCACTTTAGCAAAAGTTCCCCACTAGGAAAATTACACATGATCGTTACCTTTGTAAGAAAACTTTCGACTAAGAGCTTGCCATATGGAAAGCCATTTTAGCAAAAGTTTCTTACTAGAAAAATGACAAATGGTCATTATGTTTATAAGAAAACTCTTCACTAAGAGTTTGTAATGTGGAAAGCTAGTTTAGCAAAAGTTCCCTACTAGGAAAATGACACATGACCACTACATTTGTAAGAAAAAATTTCATTAAGAGGTTGTCATGTGCCACCATGTCTCATGTCGCCATCATGTCTCATGTGGGACACCCTTCACCAAGCTAGGGTTACAAAACTAATCACCCAAGATTAGCTTAAGCTAGGCATAAATATTATCCTACAACTTAAGCAAGAAAATTTAAAAGTCATACACTACTTGGCTCTTAAAACAAGATCTAACAAAAAATCTCTTAAAACAAAGTCTAACAAAAAAATCTTACACTACTTGACCCTTAATACAAGGTCTAAATATTCTTAATCTACTAGAGGTGTTTCATGATGGTCTAAGAAAAAGAGTTTTATTTCACTTTTGCATAAATGACTTTAGCTCTTCTTGAATATGCTCGGGTCATGATTAAGGGATATGTCGTCATAGTAATATGTTAGTCAAGTGTTTTATTTTCCTCTTTTTTGATATCTATCAGTTTTTCTTCTTAATATCTATCAGTTGATAATTTGTCTTATGTTGTTATTTTATTCGTGTTTGATATTAGACGTTAGCTACAATTATGTATTGTTAAGTTGCGATTTTTACTTTTGAATATTTTAAAATTTTATTTATTTTTTATGTTTTTTATTACTTTTTAATCTTAATAACAAACTACCTACTTATAAATGGGTAATGTTGAAAAGAAGTAAAACATTTACTTTATTTTTTAGATTATTTATATCCTATGAATTCTATCTTTTTGATATATAAAAGCAAAATTAAAAAAAAAGAATGATAACAAATTAAATGTTGTTATTGAATATATTATTTGACAAAGTTTACTAATTTTTAAGAGATAAAACTTTTCCTTATTATAATTTGACTTAAAAGTTAAAAAGTTCAATAAACTAGAAGTTTGAAATTTAAAAATGCAAAATCCGATCTAAGCCATAAAAAAGTAGTTTAGTTGAGTTCAAATTTTCTTTTATGTTAAAACCAAATCAAACTAATTATTATGTTTGGTTAAGAAGTGCTTTAAGAAAGTAATCTAACCAAATCTCATTGCCGATACCTATCGCTGACATGCGACATTATTTTGAGCAGTGATGTCCGATTTATATGTGCCGCCGTAAAATCTGTTAGAAATATGGGTAATTAGATTGCCCGAAATTAGAATAGCTGTTATTTATAGGTGTTTCTGTAGTATTTAGGGATGATATCACCATTAATGAAAGACAGAAAAGGCAGAAATGTCGACTCATGTGACTCATTTAAATTGATTAGAAGCAAGTTAAGGTCACTGAAACTAAAGAAGAAACTATACAAATAGTGATTCTCTAAACAAAACAGCAATTTGAAGTAATGTGCATTGTCCAAAATCTTCTCAAATAGGATGTGGTGTTAAATTGCTAACAGTTATATGACCCCTTTGGGCATTAGTGTTAGTAATATCTTCGCTTTGGATTACCCAAAGAGATTTCACCTGATGAATGTTGTTCACCTGAAGTGTAGCTGGTGCTTGCTTCATCAACCCTGGTATCCCCAGAGAAGCTAGCTTTTGCAAGCTCCCTTAACATCTTTAGCTCTTTTCTAAGCCCAGCCTTGTGCCCCTTTAGCCACTTACCTTCCACTTCAATATGAGAGCTTGCACCTATCTCTAAGGTTGTAGGATTTGTTCTTTCAATGACATTGTGGCTGGGTGTGCTTGGACTTTGCAAAGGGACTACAGTAGCAGTCATGGCACTAATTGGATCCATATATCCATTTCTGTTTCTTCTCTCAAATTCTGTGCCTGAACCTATAGGATTGACTGAACGCTGGTCTGTTTCTGGTTGGGAGAATGTGGATACAACACTAGACCAATGCTTGCTTGGAAGAAAAGGCAGGATGAGTCCCTTGGCTGCAAACTTTAATCCATGTCTCAAAGTGTTATTCTGAGATTTTGAGAGTTTCAATAGGGTATTTACCATAGCATACCATTGGTTGGTGAGCTGAGCAATGAAGGTAAACAGCAGAAGAAACAGAATGACCAATTCCGAAGTTTTGGCTTCAACTGAATTTGAACCATTCTGTAGGATTAAAATAGCAAACACACCTACCTCACACAAGAGAGAAATACCTTCCACAACCTGTACACTTCTACTGATATATGGTTTGGTGGTAAACAGATAAATGAATTGTATTGATGTGATTATCAAAGCGAAAAGGCTTTTATTTGAATTTTCTGAAGGGTAAGCTACTGATATTATTCCCAAACCAACTCTTCTTAGTAAGTCAAGGATGATATAGGATGCTCTCATGCAGCCCAGTATCCTCTTGAATTCAGAGATTTTGATTTCCTCATTGCTGTCTTCTGAACTCACTGTCTTCGTTCTTGTGATCTCACTTTGGCCACTTTCAGTCCACTTGGTTAGGCTATTTGATTCATTTTGATGGCCTAAAATGAATACTGGAGGACCCTTCCAATCATCAAATAGAATTCCAAAGCGTGAAAGGAAAGAGGAAGGTAATCCATTCCTGTCAAACCATTTGCCAGTAGCAGGCCTCCCACTAAAAAAGAACAACAATTTTCTGTGCCATTTTTCTTCATTTGTTACTTCATTGCATTCATTGTATTGGGCAAAACTTCCAGAGTAGATTGCAATAATAAGAAATAGAAATACTGAAGAGATGAATGCTACAGGGACTGCTAGCAACAAGACCCCAGTAATGATTCCCCCTGTTGTGCCACCTGCATATAAATGTAGTCTCAAGGGATGAAATAAGTTTACACATGAATCTATACTCCTATTAAAAGTTTTAATCTTGTAATTTAGATGACTGGAATAGACAATGTTATAACAAGTTGCTTACCTTTTATTACAAATGTTGATGCCTGAGAAAGACAAGGTAGCATGAGAATCAGAAGAAATAGCTGAAACCTGGGGACTGCTAACCTGCCTTGAGGTGGTCTCCCTGTCCTTTGTCTTAAGAAGAATAAAATGAACACATGAACTAAAAGTAAACATCCTCCTCCTACACCAAGCCAGAATAAGTTCATTTCCATGTCCTGCCACCTGTTTATAAGAAAAGAGATCTCAAATGTTCTTAAAAATCCTGCAAATTCCAAAACTTATTTTTCCTGTCAGTGATGAACACAATCATTGAGTCCAAGTCCTTTATAAGTGACCATGTTCGGTGTGTGAGTGAATGTCAGCCTAATAATGTTTAAACATAAAAAGATTGTGAGGATAACTACCCTTTGTAACTCTCCATTCCTTTGATGATGTTGCTAGCAGACAATGGTTCTCCTCTCTACAAGGCAGTTGAATCAGTTGCAAACAAGTGTCTATTCACATACTTCTTTTAAAGTTGATGTTAAACTCACCAAGAAATAAGTGAAATATTCGACTGAATTGAGAGGTAGACCATACAGTGTACTTGTCTTACTTATATCGTGCCGATTATGAAGCCGACCATATATCGTGGTATTTTCAGATTGAAATGATAGCTTGTGATCAACATAAGACAAGTTCATTAAGTCACTGTGTTTTTTATCTTTGTTGTAAGAATGTTCTCCTGAATACAGGCCAATGCTTCTCCCTTCAAGTTTCTCTCTTTCACAGACAGAAAACCAAGTGTCATAATTTTTCCAGGGAAGCTTGTGATGAGGTATAAGCCACCACAGATTTCTTGTTGTCTCAGAGTATTTGATATACTGATTTGTTGAAAACCAACTTGTGAGGGCAAAGACTTGCAGGTGGCCAACCATTCCCTGAAAAAGGTT